CAAAAGCACACGACCGCCATTTTCTGCACACTGATGCACATTTTGCCACTTATACAACTGCACGTGTTGCAGCGCAGTGCGTGTCAGCTCACATATGGACGTGTCAGATCTCTGGTGCATCACAGCATGAAAAGGTATGTGTATAAAAGCCCCGTATTTCCATTTTGGGAAGTAGCACACAAGTAAAGCACTTCCACTTCAGGAAGAAGCCTGCCTTATGGCAGTGCTCGCTGCCATAGTACTGAGGCAACATAGACATGCTTGAAATAACCTTTGATGTGACAGCAACACACTGGTGTCAAGACAGTATACATTTTGCCTGTTGATGTTACTTAAATAACATGGCTGAGAATCATTTTGTATCACTTCATTGGCACAGTCAGAATTAAGTTCTTTGGAACAAAGGTCATCTTTGTGTTCTGTGTTTGAACAGTGCCTGGCACAAAGGTGGCCAACTTGTAGCACAAGTGCCACAATGGCATGAACAGCAGATGTGTGACATGCAGCAGAGTGGGGAGGAGAGACATCAGAGTGGCAGATAGAGCATGAAGCAGAAAGCAGAGCACATTTGGCAGGAACTCAGAACAGGGAGCAGAAAACACTTAGCAGGAGAGGACCTAATTTGTTGCAGTCCTGCCAAAAATATTGGCTCCCACTGACCTAACATATTGGGGTTCTGGCCCATGATTCAGATTAAGTGCTATTAAAAATAATTTGCAGTTAATAGTATTGTAATTATTATTTGTTACCATTATTGTTGCATGCGCTATTGGCAAAACACCATTTACTGCACAGTAGTACCTGCAACAATCTAGTAATTTCCTGTTCCCTTGGCAAATCTTCTATCTTCAAGAAAAATCTCCATCATTCATAAACTAAAAAGGCACAAGTTTTGTGTCAGTCAAAATTGGTAGAATATATATATAGACTGAAAGAAAAACTTCAAAACTTAAGGATTGTCTGAACTTGTCATTCTTGTTCTCTTGGTACTTTCACTTAGTCTTTTACTGTAAAAGGTCTCACAGGTATGTTTGAAAGCCAATCACAATTTCCAGTTTTTAGTTTAGGGGAAATCTCTACTAGCTCTACTGTCCTTGATAGTCCTGTTAAGCTGCTCCAAGTAAGTGCTGAGAATATAATGGCAACCCCATGTGGTTTTTGTTTTGTTTTCAACCCTACCAGTTTCCAATCTGTGTTTGAAGACGGTGATTATGGTAGTGCAAAACTGTGCTTCTAAACTTTTAATTCAGATTGTTAAAAAATGGGTGGAGAAAGCTGAGTAAACACATAATTTACTTGAAGGCAGTTCCAGTATTTACACTATGAATTGTTGAACATGGTGAAATAATACAATAGTTGTAAATGTGATTTAGGCCAGGTACAGACATTACACTTTTACCAGTATAAGTGATTAGAAACCAGTCTATACCCATAAAAGAACAGAAATTTTGAACACACAGACTGGTTTTATTAAGGCTGGTCTAAGATTTGCCATCCCCCAACAACTACCAAGGAGTACAGGCAGAAGAGAAACTCCCTATTGTAACTCACAGCACTTTGCAGGAAGCACTATGGGTTGCAATGATCCCCTGGACCCAACAGAAGTTCACTGTTGGGTCTGGGAGTTGGAGATTCCAGCTGCTTGCTATGAGCCTGCAACCTGGTCCTCCTAGCAATGCCACTCCCCCACCTCCCCAGCCCGGACACTGTTTTCAGAAAGGAAGCGGGGGAAAGGAGTAGAGGGAAATCATTCTTGGGGTTCCCCAGCTGGTGCTGGAGGGTGGGATGGGTGGATTAGAGCTCCCCCACCTCTCATCTACCCATCCCACCTTCCAGGACTGACTGAAAAAACTCCACACCAAACTCCCTTCTTTCCCTTTCCCCTCTCCTGTTCTGAAAACAGTAACAGGCTGGGAGTTCTGCAGACACAAGTTACGGAATGTGCTCAGATTTTTGTGGGATTGGGCCCTTTTCAAGCAGTCTGCAGCCATGCACTTCTGTTTGGTCATGTCTGTAGACTGCTTTCTGGGGCCAGATTGGGAGAAAATTGCCACTTCTGTCTGCCCAAAAGGTGTTTTGTTTGCTACTGATCTAAACTATGCCACTTACAGAAAACCACGTAATTTAGATTGATTGTGCCTCAGGCTTTTTGAATGTCTGTACCTAGCCTTATATAACAAGTATTGTTTCCAAAGAAATCTAAGTTGCTTGTTTGCTTGCCTGCTTGCTGGCTTGCTTGTTCTGCTTCCTATTAGTCTGTGGACAAACACAACTTTTAGCCACTTTAAAAGGGGAGGGGGAATAACCATTAAGGAACACACATCACCTTTTACCATGCAGGTTTTGTGTCTGCTTGCTCCTATAATGATAAAGTTAGCTAAATCTCTGTAACTTTAAACTTTAATGACACAGGGTTAAAGTTTCAAATGTCAACTTATATTGATGCATATTTAACTGTTACATCATAATAGCTTACATCATTATCATAGAACATCAGTAAAATTCTTATGTCTTTTATACACCCTTGAAGTCACAGTTGTTAAAAGGAATCCATTCTGGACTAGACATGGGTGTCTGCTCAACAGTTCCCAGAACTGTAGTGGATGTGAAAAATATAAATACAATATCCCATTATAGGGGTGATGCATAAGGGGTGCACGTGTCTGCACGTGCACCCCCTCACCATGGCGGTGCACCCCCTACACAAAGATGCCACCAATACTGTCAGCGGTGCCCGCAGGTGGTCGCTGCTCACCACCCTGCCACTGACAACGCTGGCAGCATCTGCGGGCAGTCTGCGATCCCCACTGGTCAATGCTGATGCTGCTGGCAGCGGCTGCAGGTAGTCTGCATCCCATGGTCGTCACTCACCACCCCCACCCCGCCATCGCCAACAGTGCTGGTGGTATCTGCGGGAGCTCCCCCGCTTACCACCACCACACTCCTGCCGCCACCACTGCCATGCTCCTGCCACCGCCATGCCCCCCAGCCACCAGGGTCATGCGTCATTCATGTCCTGTTATAATTACAGCGGCATCACTTTGTTCAATTAGCTGAATTTTTTTTCCAATCAGGAAACTGACTGTCTAAACACACCAGTTTATCTATACCACAGTGACAGTGGTACACATTGAGAAAGCTACATTCTCAGCTCTTTCTTTGGTGAATAGAGTCAAAATGAGAGAAATTTATCACACTACTAGAGAAGTTTTAGTTAAAATGAGCCCACTGGCCAGCTTATATACTGCAGTGCACAATCCTTCCCAAATGAAACAGACCATCTTTGAAATGACTGATTTTTTTATTTGGAGTTGGTCAGATAAAGTATCTAAGAATGGAGAAATTGAGTCATTTATGTTTCTTTAGTTTTTTAAAGACTGTACATCTGTGGGGAAATCTTATGGTCTTTGCACCAGCACTACAGACTACTTAAAACAACATCTACAGTCTACTTTTCTCCATTCTACTACTCCTATACAATAATATTCCAGAGAACTGCATATCTCCTAAGAGTGAATCTCAGTCTAGTAATGGCCTCACATGTGTTTTGCAGCTTTTGAGGCACCACATAATGCACTCCATGCATGTAATTTGGTTCTCCGTGCTGCGTATTTGCAGTCAAATTTAGACACCAGAAAATCCCGATATCAAAAAAAGGTGTGAGACAAAAAAGTGAGGCAGCACACATGGCATAGGCGTGCACTGCCCAAAACCAGAGCCTGGCTGCCCAGAACCATGCTCTGGTTGCTGGCCAGGCTCCACATGCCCGGATCATTGCTGCTGCAAACCCAGGAAGCCCCAAGAATCCCAGGTAAGGCTGCTGGGGAAGTATATTCTCCAGGCCCTGAAAATATGAATGTGACAGACAAGTATACATGCATGATGGAACATTTAATGCTGAAAAACGCCTAGGCAGTGATATCCCTCCAATGGTGAAATTTAGCCATGCAGAAGTCCTGTTATAAACTCTCTACAACACCTGGATTTTCAGATAGCACACATCCACATAGTTTTCTTGGGTCCCTTAAATATGTGCTAAAATCTGTTTTATTACAAATGGTGTAATGGGGCTCTATATTGTTCTATCTCTGTGGTTTTACATTTGCTTTGCTTAATGTACAGTTAAAAACATGTCCCACCCCTACCCCCTACTGTTAGACCTTGCAAATAAGTCGGCCTGGAATCTGATAGTCAAGATCTTTATTAATGTGTGTCATTGTCATCCCTAAGGGTGGAGATGCTGCAAGCCAAAAACTGCCCTCAGTTGCATCTGTGTTGTACAAATTCAAAATTTGCTCTGTATATATCTGTTCAATTCCACCAATTGATTGACCCTCCACAGTAAATGAATCTGTTTTGGATGTGCTTTGAGAGTGCTGAAGAGGAACTAATTTATTAAAAGAGCCAAATACATATAGGTTAACTATTTAAGAGCTAAGGAGGAATACTGTCTGCACACATTTGAATGACAACTGCGAAGGATAGGGAAGGATTATTGAAATTGGTACAAGGGAGAAGAAGTAGGAATCATGAGATGGAACCTAAATTTTCACAAGTAAAATAATCTTCCTGCCAGTGAGGTCATTTAGACTGTTGAGGACAATTAACGGAAGCTCTTTTGCTTGAGATGTTTTGTATAAGACTGAACCAATTCTAGTCAATGTGCTATAGGGAATGATTCTACTCTGACAGAAGTATGAACTGCAGAATGTATTTCTCACTTCCATGATTCTGTTCTCTGCATGAATCACAAGAAGGAAGAGATGATGAGGGAGACTTTGGGATTATACTGATTTCTGCCCCAAGAACCACGGAAGTGCCACCAAGACGTGATGGCTTTTATGAGAGGTTTACAAAAATGGTGCAATGAGATAAAGCACTTGTTTCTAGGACACAGCAAAATGTTTGCCTGCAGCCATTGAGAAGGGATGCTATGGATTTTATTTGCCAAATTTTATTTGCCAACCAACCTGTTTACTTTGCTTTCTCTCTTACCATAGGTTTATTCCTGAGGCCTGGTCTGCCTGTAGTGTCACATGTGGAGTGGGCAGCCAGGTACGGCTAGTGAAGTGTCAGGTCCTCCTGTCTTTCTCTCAGTCTGTTGCTGACCTGCCCATTGATGAATGTGAAGGTCCCAAACCTGCATCACAACAAGTCTGTTACAGTGGTCCCTGCAGTGGGGAGGCTGCTGAATATAACCCTGAGGAAATAGACATCGTCTATGGCAGCTTGCAGGACTTTGATGAGCTCTATGACTGGGAGTATGCAGGCTTTACAGAGTGCTCAGAGTCGTGTGGAGGAGGTGAGAGTGATATGTTCCTTTCTTTATTTAATTTGCTTTCCTGTTTTCAAGCATGGAGCTACATGTTTTGCAATGGGCACTATCAGAAAGGCTGCTTTGTCAGTGACCTCACTGGGAAGCTATTGAAAATAAAACCCACTTCTGTTTCTTCATTCAGGCCCAGGCAGTATCAAGCTCCAGAATTGTGTTATCAACTGTGAATGATTAATATAGTCAATGTTTCTGTTTACTTTTCCTGTTTCATTAATCACATTGACATTCATGCAATGAAGCACAGTGTGATGTAGCCCAATGATACAAATTAGCATCGTATTTCATTTTTAGTGCTTATCTCTTGACATTTGTCATGTAAACATAAACATAGGGAACCAAATAGTTCTGCCATTGCAGCTGCATTTTCTTGTCAGTCTGCTGATGGCTCAGCTGGTTTCTGTAGCTTGTGCTACCAGGTGACATGAGTTTGGATCCCAGAGCAAAAAAGCATATGACAAAAATAACCAAGCATGTGATTGCCTAAAGGTAACAGACTTGGCACTTACTGGGCACATTGAGATGTTGAGAGCAGAGCTGACTAATTAGCTCTGCTGTAAACATCAGTATCTACACATGCTATTAGGCACACACAACAGCACATGGTCCTATTCGGCCAGAGTAAACTAATTAACTCCACCATAAGATAGTACTGCCCTACACAAGTACTGTTGTATAGGAGAGTTATTTACTCTGCCACAACACATGTAGACACTGGCAGGGGCTGGCTGGGGCATGAGGGTGCTCCCATGCAGTGCTGCCTGCTGGTTAGCCCTGCACTGTAGCACCCTTATGCCCCAGCCAGCCCCCCTGCAGCTCATTGAGCTAAGTCAGAGCAGCCGCAGGCTGGTCCTTGGGGCCCGCTACCAGTCAGAGCTGCTCCAACCCGGCTCAATGTGCGATGGTCCTGGACACATATGCATCAGTGCACCCGGGAGCAATAAACTCCAGTGCAAAATGTGCTGGAGTTTATTGCATTGAATTAATTTCATGTGTAAATGCACTCACAGTTTCTTAAAGCTGATCAAGGTAAAAGGTTACACAAGCTATGCAAATTATTTAATGCACATTGTGTTGTATCCATTTGGATTTTCTCCATCATTTTGGCCAATCAGTTTTGAAAAATGTGCCTATTCTAATTTGTAAACACCTAGACTTTCCCAGCTGCTACCTCTTAAATTGGCAATTTTAAGCCTGTTTATAATGGAATGGGTGTAAATAATATAGCCAAAGAATCAATTTGCTGTATGAAATTAGAATGATACTGCAGAATTGGAAAGAGGTCAGTAGTGTATGGCAGTTTAATTTTTGGCTCAAAGTTGATTTTTGGGCCATCAGATGCACTATGAAAGCTGTCCATCAGATAGAAAATGATGTAAAGTATATAACAAAATGTTTGTATCTTGCTATTTCCCATCAGTTGTTTGCAGCTAAATTACAGTTATTAAACATTTCCTATTCTAAATATAGGGAAAGTCTAATAATAATTATTGCTAATTTAATGGCAACCACTGGACTTTCAGTAATATTTGTAATCCTTGAACCTTGAATATCTTGCGTCATTTCCATTTGAAACTGTTTCAATACACGTAGTACATGAATGTGCACATTTCAAACATAACATGCGTAAATTGACATGACAGAAACATTTTGCTTTATCAATTTAATCTCTTTGTGTTGTCAACAAAAATGGTTGCCTGGGAGATTTAAAAATATATATATCTTTGCATCTGAAATAAACCAAAAAGTTTCAGATTATAAACCAGTTTTCGTAGCTAAAGATGTAAAACAGGTCAAGCTAATTTTATTGTTTTTGTACTCGCAGGGGATGAAATTGGATAGATACAGAAGTAACCTTTCACCTTACAGAAGGAACTAGTTAGTAATTTAGTCTGCAGATAGTGGCTGCATTTCCCAGAGCTGTCATCTAATATCATGTAATAATTATTCTTTTCTGGGAGATATAAACATAGAAAATGGTATATTGAAAGTGAATTTAAACTGCTTATATTCATGTCCCATCCTCACACCCTCTTGCATTTTAATATTCCATTAAGGAAATGGAACTAATAGGAATTTTCAGGGAAAACAGGTTCAAACTGGACAGCTTCATTATAGTGATATACTGTGCAATAAATTATGTTTAGAAATTAGTTGAAGGAAAAATGAGCCTTAGGTCAGTGCTCTGTGGATATGTGGAGAAGACTTTTTTTAATGAGCTCTTTACAGGTTCTGATAAGTAATGTAAGAATGATATTTAGAGAATATAAGCAGTGGTTGATTTTTAGTATTTGTCTTTAGCTGCATGAACTGGCTTACGAAAAATATTGGGGCATATTATGTCAGCCTACACCGAGACACTCAAGGTGCAGACAGAAGTGACACTTTTCACCCTATCTGGCTCCTGAAAATGCTCTACAGCCATGACCAAACACAAGTGCACAGGTGCAGAGCACTTTTAAAAGAACCGATCCCACAAAAAGCTTGAACCCTCATTACATGAGGGTTCAGATGAAGCAGAGTGCCCTCAGTAACTTCTGTCTGCACTTGCCAGGAGCAGGGCTCAGCTGACACAGCCCAGCACTGCTCCTGGTGCTCTTTGCAGAATAGGAGGGTGGGGAGTGAGCAGAGGGAGCTTATTCTGGTGGTTGCCCAGCCAACACTTGAGGATGGGATGGGTGATGGACAGTCTACACGGGAGCTGGGAGAGAGGCAGTGGAGCTAGGGCAAGAG